TTTATTAAAAGGTTTTTTTATAAAGTGATACTGGTGCTGCAAATAACTTTTTCAGTTTTTGCTTATCTATCTAGCTCTAGATCCATCTACCAATCATCTATCTATCTATCTATCTATCTATCTATCTATCTATCATCTATCTAGCATCTATGTTTATGGACAGGTGGTCTCAATTGTCCAAAGAGAGCTGACACAAAAAGTCTACTTTAAGTGATTCCACCTTAAACACAACAAAATGTTATAGTAAATATTTTAAATTGATTTAGTTTTTATTTTTAAAATAAAATGAAAATAAATAAGTTGATTTTATGTTATATTAAGTTTAATTTTAAAAATTAGGTAATTCTTAAAACATGCAAACACACTTACTTTCTTTTGATAGTGGATAAGATGCAAGTCAAATTTGTATTCTAGTATTTAAAGAAGCCTTTCACAATATTGGTGCTTTCCTAGTGAGATTGATCATAAACAGGACCTATTTTGCAAAAATATTAGAGGTCTTTTTTCTTTTGCCTCAGAACATCTATAGTAGTTGTTAATTGGTCCAGCTCTTCTGGATCCTCACTTGTCAGTGACTTTGCTTATGATTCAAACAATGTAATCAACTTCACAAAATCCTGAAATGTTGCAGTGGTTCTCAACCTGTGGGTCGTGACCCCTTTGGCGGTCGAACAACTCTTTCACAGACAGGGATTGCCTAAGACCATCCTGCATATCAGATATTTACATTACAATTCATAACAACAGCAACATTACAGTTATGAAGTACCAACGAAAATAATTTTATGGTTGGGTCACAACATGAGGAACTGTATTTAAAGGGCCAGAAGGTTGAGAACCACTGGTTTATAAGTTTGTAATTTCAGTTAGCAATTAATTTATATTGAATTTGAATTGTTTACTTTCTATTTGAAACATTAGATAATCATTAATTCATTGACACAATGGGTAGAAATATGTATCAATCATGGAAGAAATAGAGGTATTAGTATTTATTACTGGTTATTTTTTGTGTTATGACAACTTAGACTTCTGATGACTGAAGGGACTTGGAAAATGAATACTCTGGGAACTGGGACTCTTAAGGTCAAATCTTTATAACATTTCCTTATTATGACTTCTGAATCTCCTGTCTTGCTTAGTTTTCCCCAGACTGATGGTAATATTTTCTTATTTATTTTTTATAATTGTTACTATTCTTCTGCCTTTTAAAATTAGATATTAACTCAATCTAAGATTTATCTGCAAAATATCCATGAAACTTTGTTAGATGACTTTCTTCTTTTTATCCAAAAAATAACTAACTTCAACATATCTTTAAATACAATTTTTGATAGTAATACTTAGATCTTACAGATCAGAAAAGTCTAAATAACTGTGGAACTTACATATAGTTGTCAACCTTTAGTTTATCCAAGTAAGGACTTAAAAACCAAATATTACCATCAATTACCTCCACCATTTCATACTAATGACATACTAATTCTACTTTTGAAAAAGTAGAATTTCAAAATTAAAACAAAATAGCTTTATTAAAACCTTCCAACCTTAATCTTCATAATGGGTAAGAATTTGATCACAGAGTGGAATCAGGGAGGGACCAGTACTCGGGATCAACTGCTTTAAATAATAACTGGACTCCTGGATGTCACTTAAATGCACAAACACTAATTGTAGCGAGGGAGGCCATTTTAACCTCTGCGCCTCAGTACACACCAGAATTGAGATATGTACTTACATATAATAACGACAACACCCTGTTTTTCACACGGCAATGATTGTGAAGCTATGAGCATGACCACATTACCAGAAGAAAGGAAAAACTGAAATAGATGGGACTGGCGGGGAATCATGCAGAAGACACTTTCAACAGAAAGCACCTGCTACTAAGCACAGTTCACAAAACCCTATTCTGAACAATTGTTTGTGTTGAATGAGGTTAGTCCCACCACGTCTGATGCAGTGAGGAGGTCATTAGAGATCTCTAGTTGCTCAAATAAAGAAATGAGTGAAACATTGTAGAAAGAATCAGGTATTGTTAGCATTTAGAATCAAGGATTATATTGTTGGATGATCAATTGTCCAAAATGTGTATTTAGTGGTTTGTTTTTCTATTCCTCTATAGACATTTATATAAATTATTTTGCCCCATACTCAGGGAGATGACATTAATGCAATAAAATCTGAATGTCACTTGGCGTGTTCCTTTGCCCATCTATACTTGTGGCTGTGGAAGCTACTTATTTACATAGTTGCTCTGAATAGCATTTGTAAAGCTGCCATTTTATTCATCTAGAGCTCTCTGTTTTCCAAATAAAAACAGATCTCCTCAGGCGTCACTTTGGGATTGTTGCCTTTGAAATCTAATAGTAAACTAGCTGCCTCAGCATCTGCGAGGCTCAGCTCATTCCACCGCCTTACAGAATTATAATTCCCCATTTGGAGTCGTAGAAATGTAATAATGGAGAAAAATAGCTATAAGAAGAGAGACAGCTGATCAAAGAATTCATGGTGCTACAAAATGAATTCTTATATCTTTGTTCCTTTATGTCTCTCAGTCTGAACAAGTGTTGCATTTTGCAGGACAGCTATGTTTTTAAAAAGTGGCCTATAAGGTGAATTTCTATACAGCAAAGTAGCGTAGTTTTATTGGCATCTATACAATTAAAGGTATGTTTTTCAGGAGAAAAATGCTGATCCCATTATATTAAAACTTACATATGCATCACAAATGCATTTTAAAAGCAAAACCTGAAAATTGTCAATAAAACATGAGGACTAACTGTAAGAATAAATTACAGCATGGAAACACAAATGAGCCTGGGTCACTTCTGCATTTGGAATAAGAAGCCTGTAGATTTAAAAGAAAAATAACAACAACATTGTGCTGAACAGAACATGCCAGGGGCAGAGCTGAACGACTGTCTTATGAAAGACATTTTTCATTTTTAAGCAGAGTATGTTTGTGTGTTCAAGATGACAACATAATCAAGTGAAGAGTGAGCAACTCAGCTCATCCACAGGTTGTTTCCTGTTAAATTTTAACAATGCCAGGCTGTTAGTTTGCATATTCCCACCCCCTTTAAAATATTTGTCTGAACAAATACTTTTAAAGAGAGAAAGCAGCTAAACTCCATTCAAAGAAGCCCTCCCTTGGATTCTGGAAACCTGGGTTCTGTGCCTGGCCTTGTCTCTCTGGGCAAAGTACAGTGGGGCCTTGACTTACGAGTTTAATTCGTTCTGAGACTGAGCTCGTTAAGGAGCTCGTTAACTCAAATCACTCTGTCAACTCAATGCAAAAAATCTGCCGAGAGACAGCTGGTATCTCAAAAAACTTGTTAGTCGGGACACTCATAAGTCAAGGCCCCACTGTACTTGAGGTTTCGGAATCTCCTTTTCCCGATCTGAAAATAAAGGGCAGGATTGTCTCAAAGTGTTGTGAGGGGACAAGAAAATGGATGCAAAGGGGCCTGGTGAATAATATACCCTCAATACAGGGCCCATGGATGGCACAGATATTTGTCTTTTATGGTATGCTGTGTATTTGGTAACATTTTCCATAGTTTGACATTATATTAAGCTAATAGTTTACATGCCACAATATATACAGAACCTCAGCCTTCCCGAGGAGAGCCAAGGTGTGTCCAGAAACCAAAGAGAAAGCTTGGATACCACTAGCTTCGATTCAGCTCTCCGATAATTTTTAATCATTCACTAACTAAAACATTTCAGTCCTGCCCACCAGGTGCCACATGCATCGTGGAGGTGGCTGAGAGGGCCTCTGTCTCCTCTTGCCCTGGCGGTCTGGTTGAGAAGACAGATGATATGCAACAAGCTATAATAAAATGTCACAAACGCTATGCAGAGGCTGGAACAGAGTATGGGAAGAAGAAATCTTCAGACTGAAAAGAGTCACCTAAAGGCTACTGTTCAGTAAATGCTTTTGGTAAAGATAAAAAGGTGGATTCCACTGTCACGAATCAGATCTCTAGTCCTTCATGTATGTGCACCTGCATGTATGTCTATTTTCCCATTTTTCTAATGTACTCTTTACATTGGATACTTTAGAAAGTCTCTCTTGAAGCTTGGCATTCACTGGTTTAACTCCCTTCTGAACACGGATGTTAGGCTTTGTTTCAAACACAAAACACAGTAAAGCCGCTAATGGAATCCTTTCTTTCAAATACTGTTTTGATGTGACTAACCTTGATGTTTGGTCAAAGAATGCAGCTCTGTTTTGACTGTAATAGCTAACTTATACAGCTTAGATACTGCTTGTCATAAAGAAAAACTATTTAAAAGTGCAGCCGAGGTGGTATAACCTATATATGATCTCTAGTCCTATATTTTTTAATTGATTGGCATTCAGAAAAAAAGCACAACCATCGATTCCAGTTTCTCAGATAATAATTACCTGGAATTTGATTCCCTGAAGGATGCGAGGATTTCTAAGCTTATCTGCTTTAATCCAAATTTACTTGCTAAGGTGATTTCATGGAAAGCAATTTAACCCCAGATCTCTATAAAACGGAAGAAAGGCATTAGTTTTTCCGTTTTGTTCCCTCCACCAACTTCATTCATCTGGTTTTCCTCCCCATCCACAGAGATTGCACAGGCAGCTTTCTACAGAAGCGATTTTATTGGACCTTTGCTTTGTTTGCATCTGAGCTTGCACTGCACCACAGGTGTGAGGTCATGTGAGGTGTGAGTGGGCAGAAGGTAAACAGAAAGGTCAGAGGTGAGAATCAAAACCAACAGAAAGCATTTCTAAAGTGTCTGTCCTGTTTACCTTCCTCCTCACCTCAATCAGTCAGAGAAGCAGTGGTCAGATGAGCTCAAAGTATATTCTAAAGCCAGCATAGGCTCAAACCATTCCGATATAAACAATTCACATCCTGTCAAGCACAGTGTTTATAGGGAGCAGAAAGAAAGTTCAGGAATGTAGAGGAATTGCTGTGAATTTGTTAGATTTTTTATCATTAAACAAAGGTTTTACTTACCATTTACATAAGAACCATTCACAGCCACTCTGGGTACTTCTGAACCAACCGGAGTAATTTTACTTAGCAGTTAATGGAAGTTCCCTTATGAATGCAAAACAAATAAGCTTCACAAATATATGTTGGTGATACATTCCAGAGGGTGTCTGCCTGCAGTGTTAGAAAATTAACTGATTAAGAAATCAAATAAACTTGATTAATCGTTTCCCACAATCATGCAGACCTGTAAGATGTACAACTATGATTGGCAGATTTAAAAAAAAAAATCAGGACTCACTAATTCAGCAGACTCACTGATAGGAAGAGTCAGCGTGGGTTTCCCCCAAAGCAAAGCCAGAATCAGTCTTGTGTGTGGGGAGTGAAACAAGGAGGGAGGGGACCTGAAACAAAGATGGCTTTTCCAGCTCACTATTGCTGTGGTTCACTGGTGCTTGTTGCTACAGGATCTTTGGAGGAGGTTTAGCAGATGCCTTTGGGAGCTCTTGCTGGGTGATGTAAGGGGGAAGTGGCTCATTGGCTCCTACCCCGTGCTTGTGAAGGGTGAGCTCATGGGCATTAGCTCCAGAGCGCTTCTGGATTGTGCAAGCATGAGTGGCATGATTTCCCACGAATGTCCTAAGCTGAGTCAGAGGGCTGAGGTGAGGTACTGACAGCTTGCAACTGCTAAAGCTGGTCAGCGCTTCATGGATCTAGTTACTGCAGCTGTGGCTAGATAATAGGTAGGATTGGAAGGAGTTAAAATCTGCTCCAGAGCTGTCTAGTATAGTGGAAAATACTAGTATAACATCTTTAAAAAGGAAAACAAACCTTGTTCACATTGCGTGCATTCAGCACCCAGACCAACACCAGGATGCTCTACGCAGAATCTTTAATAAATAGTAAGCATGGGAAATCGCTTTGGAGTAAAAATAATAGGTCCTAAATCTGACACTTTCTGGCAGTGTGAACTTGGGCGATTACATTCGATTTTGCTGAGCCTCAGTTCCTGACCTCAAAAGGCAGGGATAAATGATATCCTCCTCACGATAGAAATTAAATGAGATGACGGATGTAGCAACACAGTTAGCATTTCAGAAAATGGGCACTCCTAATAATCATCGTTAGCATTCAATCAAAGTCAGCTCAGGAGGCCACTTGGAGGGGCCTCCCCCGTGGTTAGGGCTGTAGGTTTCAGCTGGCCAGCACCCTGAGGGAGAGGGAACAAAGGCAGCAACAGCTGGTGGGAACAGTGGAAGAGCCCTCTGGACCCTGGGGGGCTGCCGACTGTGCTGGATAATCAAAACCAGTTGGGGGTTGTCAGTTGGGAGTCAGAGATCACACAGAGGCCAGCGGTCAAGTGTGGTGACCTCTGATCCAACGCTAGGAAACAGAATGCTCAGAAACTGGAGTTCAAGTCCTGTCAAGGGTCAAAGGCAGGCAAGTAAGTGATCATCCAGCACACATGTTGCTCCATTCGAGGCCTTCCTGGTGAGAAAGATTGCCATTGTGTTTCCCGCCACGCTGTAAAGAAACAGCGGATATTCTAGGTGTGGGCAGCCAGAAGCCTGAGAGATCAAAGATACTAGTACTCAGCCCAGCAAATGAACAGGTTATGCGGCACTTAATAGGAAAACGTATAAATAGGACATCTTATCATGGACATATCCCAAGAAGTTATGTGATATTTCCAAAGATGCCTACCACCTATGGAGCTGTTGTTTACAATTTAAAAGGTGACTCATTTTTCTAATATTCTTTGAGCTCCTGAACCTTTTTGTTCACAGCCCTGTGGCTTTAAAATGGTACAGTGTCCAGAATTCACTTAAAAGAAGCTCTTTAACCTCATGCTTATAAATGTCATATATCTTCCATGTTTTACATCATTCCACACTTCACTGATTTCAAACATCCATCCATGTGTCCACCTTAATCCATTTGGACCACGATAATAGAATCTATAATAATAAAAGGGTATTATGCTAATTAGACCTACGTCCTTCCTGACAAAGCCCAGGCTGGAGGGAAGCCAACCCGGGTCTTGGGTGCCTGCAGGTGGCTGGAGGAAGGAAGCCCGGGTCCCAGGTGCCGGAGGGAAGCCAGTGCCGGCAGCTGGGGGAAGGAAGGCCTACTTTTACACAAATTTTTGTGCATCGGGCCTCTAGTCCTATATAATAAAAGCTTAATATGCTAAGTGTCCAGTCGTCCAATCGGCCATTCAACCAATCAAAGCATAATATGCTAATGATATGCTAAGGCCGCTCAACCGCTCGCTATGACGTGCACTGACCACCAGGGGGCAGATGCTCCAACTGGTAGGTTAGCTTGCTGCTGGGGTCCAGCAGATTGGGACTGAGCGAGACAGGCCAGACATGCCCTGGAGCCCTCCCATGGTCCCTCTCTGGCTGGCCAACCTCCCGCCTCCCTCCTCAGCCCTGATCCTGCGCCTGTGGGGTCCCTCTGCCTGACCTGCACCCTCTTGCAATCTGGGCTGAGGGATCTCTCCCACCGCCCTGAGTGCATGGATTTTGTGCACCGGGCCTCTAGTATATAATAGAATGCCATAGGCTGAGTGGCTTAAACAGCAGACATTTATTTCACAGTTCTGGAGGCTAGGGAGACTAAGATCAAGGGCCCGTTTCCTGGTTCATAGACAACTGTTCTCTTGATGTGTCCTCACATAGTGGAAGGCTTGAGGGAGCTCTCTGTGATCTCTTTCATATGGGCACTAATCTCATTCATGAGGACTCCATCCTTATGACCTAAGCTTCTCCCAAAGGCTTCCTCCAAATACCATCACACTGGGGATTAGTTTTTAACATATAAATATGGGGAGGGGGCACAAGCATTCAGTCTATTACACCATTCATTCATTTTTTTAGTCATTCAACTATTCAATAACCCAACAATTTAATAATTTAACCAGAAAATATTGATTATATATTTTCTAAATTATTGCTGCAAAAAGTTTTAAGAGTAAAATATGATAATGCACATAAAAGTATCTGGCAAGTATTATAGTGCCCAGGGATGGGCCATGCACTTGTCTTTTATCATGTGCTATATATTTTATAAATTTTCTATTCTTTGGTCTTTATATTAAACTAAAAGTTTACATATGACACACGAGGAGATAAGTGTGGTTTTAATTTCATTTAAAGGCTGATGATGTTGAACATTTTTTTATGTGCTTGTTATCTGTATACTTTTTCTATGACATGTCTCTTTATGTTGTTTGTCCATTTTCTAACTGGATTGTTTGTTTTTTACTATTGAGGTTTGAAAGTTCTTTAGATATTATAGATATTAGTCCTTTGGATAGGTGGTTTGCAAATATTTTCTGCCAGTCTACCAGTATTTGTATCCTTTTACCAGGATTTTTCAGAGCAAAAGATATTAAGTCTAAATTTAATTTATCTATTTTTTTTTTCTTTTTGGATTTTACTTTTGATGTAAAATCTAAGAATTCTTTGCTTAGCTCTACATCTTGAAGATTTTCTTAGGTGTTTTTCAAAAGTTTTTAAGTTTTATGTTTTACATTTAAGTCTATGATCCATTTTGAGTTCATTTTTTGTATAATGTGTAAGACTTAAGTCAAAGTTCAGTTTTTACCCACAGATATCCAATTGCTCCAGCACCATTTGTTAAAAATGTTATTTGTTCTTTTTATTATTTTTTAATTAATTTCAGAGAGGAGAGGAGAGGGAGAGAGAGATAGAGACGTCAGTGATGAGAGAGAATCATCGATTGACTGCCTCCAGCATGCCCCACACTGGGGACTGGGCCCACAACCCAGGTATGTGCTCTGACCAGGAATCGAACCATAACCTCCTGGTTCATAGGGTTCATAGGTCACCTCTCATGCACTAAATCATGCTGGGTGGGCAAAAATGTTATAATTTCTTAATGAAATTGCTTTTGCACTTTTTTTGAAACATCAGTTGGGCATGGTGTGTGGACTTACTTCTGAGTTTGTTTTCTACTTTTTTCCATTGATGTATGTGCCTATCTCTCTGCCAATACTTTACCTTCTTAATTATTGAAGCTTTATGGTAAGTCTTGAAATCATGTAGATGGTTCCTCCCACTTTCTTCTTCTTGGCTTATCTATTTTAGTTTCTGTGCTGTTTCATATAAAAAAAAAAAACTTTAAAATATCTATATCTACAAAACTCTTGTTGAGATATTAATAGGAATTGGATTTAGCCTATATCAATTTGGGGAGAATTGACATCTTTATGTCAAATATTTCTTATGTTAATGCATGAATATAGCTGTTAGCACATAAGTTGTCATATGTTTTGTTAGATTTACATCTATGGACATCATTTTTTAATTGATTATATTGTATATATTTTTTTACTTTGGGGTTTATGTGTTCATTGCTAGTATATAAAAATGCAATTGATTTTTTTGTTATGATTTTTGTATCCTGAAGTCTTGTTAAACTCACCCAGTAGTTCTAGGAGGGTTGTTTTTCTTTGTAGAAAATCATGTCATCTGGAAATCAGGGATTTCATTTCTTCCTTTCTGATCTGCATGTCCTTTATTACCTGTTTAAAAATGTAATTAGCTTAAATATTTCCTCACTATGCATTTAAAAGCACATGAGAGAGTATAAGTTTGGCTTCAACCATCAAACATAATGTAGAAAATTCAAGAGAAATAAAATTCATTGTATTTAAACTTATGTTTCCTTATCATTGTCTTTCTTCCTTTCTAACATTCCAAGGTACATTTTTTATCATTACCTTTCTGTTTAGATCATTTCCACTAAACATTCTCTTAGGGAAGTTCCACTGATAACAAATTCTCTTAGTTTTAATTCATCGGAGAATTTCTTGGTTTCCCTTTCATTTCTGAAGATATTTTCACCAGATATAGGATTCTGCACTGACAGTTTTTCTTCCAGCACTTGCAAACTGTTATACTACTCCCTTCTGTCATGATTTCTGGTGAGAAATTGACTGTAGTTCAAGTTGTTTTTCCCGTATAGGTAAGGTGTTCTCACTGCTCTAAAGATTTTCTCTTTGTCTTTAATGTTTAGTAGATGGTTTTACTTCTTTAGGCTTATCCTGTTTGGGGTTAGCACAGCTTCTTGAATCTATAGGTTATGTCTTTTGCAAAACTTTAGAAGTTTTCAGCCATTGCATTTGAGCACTTCTTCAACTCCATATGTTTCCCCTCCCCTTTAAGGTCTTCAAAGACCCAATATTAGACCTTTTGGTGTTAAATGTTCCTGAGATTCTGTTCATTTTGTTCCTTATATATTTATTTGTTCTTTATATATTTGTTCTTTATGTATTTATTTTTTTTCATTTTTAATAGAGAAGTATATTCAAATTCAAAAGGTAAAATATTTCAAATGCTTCCTGATGAATGAGATTAGAAAACCCTTTAGGCCAGGGTGTATATGAATTTCAGCCCTATCACAGTCCAATCAGTAGGATGGGCTTAGAGCCCCTATTTTATGGAAGCAGTTGGTACAGTGAGGGGTCAAGAGCCTCTGAGAAAAATAAAAATATATTCATTATATCATTTAATCCACAGGACAGAGGAGGTACCACCATCACTATCATTTTATAAATGAGTAAGATAGGGCTTTGAGAGAGGCAAAATAATTTGCTAAAATATCACAGCTAATTAATGGTGGAACTAGGATTTGAACCATGGGTCACTTATGATCTCCAAACACAGGGTGCATTACTAAGCAAGGTGCTCAGCTGTGACTCACTGAAGTCATTGCAGATATGCTGTGATAGGCCCATTCCTGAATGCTATGAGGTTCTCCCGCAGCTCACCTTGTCTTCAGAACCTCTCAAGATCCTTGCCGAGTCTCTCTGGGACTTCACAGCAGTTTACGAAACTTCCATCCCTTCCCTCTCCCCTTCACTTAGGCTTAGATGAGCAGCATTCATGATGCCTTGTCCAGCCTATTCCAGCTCCTCCCATTTTCTCCAACAAAGGCATTTCCCTTAAGAAAATCCTTGCATGTTTAATCCAATTTGGGCATTGCTGGAGGACCCAAACTAACACAATGAGGGAGCCTGATTTAAGAGCACAAACTATTGACTACCACTCCATAAGTGGCAAACACACACACACACACACACACACACACACACACACACACACACACAGTGTTTCTGTGGAATTACTTGAGATTCCATTCAGAGGTTGAAATAAAATAACTATGTGGAAAGATTTTATAATCTCTTGAGTGGCCTGTAAATGCAAGTTGTCATTATTTAGAATTCACACAATGGTTTGCCCCGGGCTCTGCCTGCTCTCAGCCATTGGCCTGGGTGTGGATGCTTTCCAATCTATCTTTTCATCTGACGACTGCCTCCTGGTGAGAATTGCAGACTTGTCACTTTAATTTTTACAATGCTTAGCGTAGCCACTATTTACCAGGCATGTTAGTGACATTACAACTCTAAGTTGGTTTTTACCCACATAAACTGGGGTTTGCCAACAACTTTGTAAAAATTGTTATAATTTGCGCCAGCAATGATCCCGTTCATTACACCCCAATTTTCTAAATTGTCTTTAAACAAGGGTGTGGTGAGTTCTTGGGGAAATGATCATAAACTACACAACCCGTCCTATCTGTCCCACATCAGCGGTAATTAAAAGCTTACCTGTAATTTCCTGGCCTTCTCACCTGGGAAGCAAGAACCTGAGTGTGAGAAGATCTTGCTCATTTAGGCCACACAAACTGATTTGAATGAACCACTTAGCTACTCGCAATATCTAATGTACAACGATTCTGTTATTGCTATTAGACAGACCCCTGGCATTTAATAGTGTGAGAATGAAGTGAAGTTTACCAAAATACCAAGAACATGAAATAGAATATTTCAAAATATACTTTGACTAGGAAGAAAAGCATGAAAAGGATAAGCTGACAACTTGGAGTAAAAAGTACATGGTTAATTTGTGACAAAAATAAGTAAAAGTTCTCCATTGCTTTATGTTTTAATCTTTACCATCAAAAAGCAGTGAAGTGGAAAATATGGAAAAAAGAAATTTAGTTTAAAAGAGAGAATTAAAGCCCAAGGTAGGTCAGTGGATGATAAGAAACCATGTAACAGTTATATGAGCTTGATTCTGGATGATTTCCATTCTAAGGTAATGATGATCATGGCAAATGCTGGTCATTATATTCAGGGTATGGCTCTAAGTGCTTGGTATATATCCCCTTGCTCACAAACACCTAGAAGGTAGGTGTTGTCATTAGCCCCACTTTTCAGATGGAAAACTAAGGCCCAGAAAGATTAAATAGCTTGCCCCTGGGATTTGAGCCCAGACAGTCTGAGTCTAGAGACCCTTCTAGTCGGTGCATGTGTGCTAGAAAAGTGGAATCTGAGACTTATGGAGTCAGACTCTGCACTTTAACTTGATCTCCAGGCCATTCTTATACACAGTGCAGTTTAAGAAGCACTGCGTTAGTGGGGCCTTTGCTACCTTCTAATAATAAAGACTAAAGGAATACGAATGCCGGACCCTGTGTATATCCTTTTAGGAATTATCAAGTATGAGAAGGTAAAAAGGAGAGTGGTGATGAATAAATACCATGGTTTTCAAGAAGAATGTTCGAGGGAGGAGAACTCAAGAGACTAAAAACCAATGTAAGTGACATAAATTCCTGGCAAACTTTAGAGTACAGAGCCAAAAGATGATCACAAGGTACCATATGGATTCACTAAGAAAACATTCTGTCAAATTAACATGATTTCTTTTTGGGATCTACTCATATATGCATACAGGAAAACACCACAGTTATATTACTCATGAATGTCAGCATCAAGAGTGAATGTTGGGGGTGGGGCGGGGTCTCAGGGAATCAAAAGGGAAAAAAAAAAAGAATGAAGTTTGGCCCTAACCAATTTGGCTCAGTGGATAGAGCGTCGGCCTATGGACTGAAAGGTCCCAGGTTCGATTCCGGTCAAGGGCATGTACCTTGGTTGCGGGCACATCCCCAGTAGGAGGTGTGCAGGAAACAGCTGATCGATATTTCTCTCTCATCGATGTTTCTAGCGCTCTATCCCTCTCCCTTCATCTCTGTAAAAAATTAATAAAATATATTTTTTTAAAAAAGAACGAATTTTGGTAAAGTCTTTCTTGCTATGCCTGTGGGCAACATGAACACATAAGTAGAATGGGCAGCTAGCTGAGTAACTATGTCCAAAGGGGGCTGATTAGTGGGTCATTGTCAATAAGCAACAAGGTTCCCTACTTTCATTCATTCAAAAAGTGTTTATTCAACACCTGCTGTAACCCAATGTTCTTCTCTGTACTTGGGATACACTGCTGAACAAAACAATACTCTGCTCTCATAAAACTAAACAAATAAAGAGCATGAGAGGTGTTAAATGGATGGAAATATGCACATTAGTCAGAAGGAGAAGGTGTTGACATCTGACCTGAGACCTGACTATTAAAAGGGAAGCAGCTATGAGGGGATCTGATGTCAGAGCGTTCTAGACCAAGGGACTAAACAGTGCAGAAAGGCCTGGGATGGGCTGTGGCATGCTGGAGGAACAGTGAAGAGGCAGATGAGGTCTGGGAGGCCAGACCAGAGTAGTCTTAAAGGCCATAGGGAATGTAAGAGAATGCGCACGAGCATTTTAATGTGGAGCATGATGTCATCTGATTTATGATTTTCAAAGGTCACAGAGACTGTCACATGGGGAAATGTCTAATAATGGGGAGAAGCAGAACTCTGTTCTTGATTCAGTTCTACTAATTTTTATCAGAAATTTAGATAAGAACTCTGCAGAGATAAGAGATTTAAAGACTAAATTTATACATACAGATTAGCTAAGGTCTAATAGTCTAGAGGTAGCTTCTAAAATCAGTAGATGAAATGTAAAAGGATATAAACACCAAATTGTTTTTTGGTTTTTTTTTTGGTAAATCAATCTCAACTTTATTAACATGACTTACATAACATAAACTGCACTCCTTCTAATGCCTAGTTCAAAAGTTTTGACAAATAACTATATTCATATAACCTTCACTCCAATCAAGGGCATCTCATCACCCTGGCAATTTTCCTTAAACACCAAGTTCTGAACTTAAAAATATAAAGTCCCATAGGTCCAGAATGGATGAGAGAGATCTGGTTTAGCTGAATTTATAGGAAAGAGGTAGATGCAAGTTGACTTTGTGACCAATTGGAGACAGCATATAATGGTTTTAAAAATTCTAATGGAGTGCATGGAAGGACTAAAGCAATGATTTTTTTTTTTTTAAATTACACTTGACACATAATATTAGATTAGTTTCATGGGTAGAGTATAAATAATGGTTAGACATTTATATACCTTATGAAGCAATCACCCCTCTAAGTTTAGTATCCATCTGGTACCAATCATAGTTATTATAACATTATTGACTATATTTCACACAAAGCTATGAGTCTTACACTTGAGTACCAGAATCACTTGGGAAATGAAGCACAAGCAAACACACACACATGTACACATACACAGCTATATGATTTTCTGGCCCCACCCCAGGTATGTCTTTGAGAGTGGGGCC